CGAGTGGTCTTACACCCAGAGCTTCAGAATTCCCGGTAAGACAGTCATCATTCCATAACTCCGTACAACACCGCTCATATATGGCGCATATAGATATAGACGAAGAGATGGCAGTTCGCGTACGGCCTGCTACGCGCCAAAAGTGTCCGCGTTGTTGGACATTCACGCGGCCGAAGGAAGATGTACTCTGCGGGCGATGCGCAGATGTCGTTGAGCAGGATCATGGTCATTCGTAGATCTTTATCACCAACCACCGCCACTCATTTATTGTCAAGTAGCACCCAGACCGTGCGTGGGTTGCAGAAATCTTCACTACATTGCATGATCGCCAAATGGATGCATCACACGATTTGAGAGGAAACTTCCGGGAAACTACGCTTTCCACAATCTGTCATGAGGAAGACATTGTGGGCGCCATAGACATGCATGCGAGCAGAACCTTCTTCCCTTTATTTCTTCCCAGTATCTAAGTAAGTATCTAAATAACTTTATGGCACCGCACTCTGCAACGCCACCCCTGACCACGCGATTGCGAATCCAATTAATATGATCGCCCGAACATGGTCCAATGTTTCGCGTCTTTTCCGCAGGCCGGGCACTTGGTCTCGCCCGGTACGATGGGGGTGTACGGAGACTGATCGAATGGAATGGCGAGAGACTTGGCGCCAGCTGAAGGAGCACGTTCGTCTTGAGGCTCAGAACTATGAATTTATGGAGATATAAGCAATTTGTTTGAAACATGGGAATGAGGAAAGAAACATACGCTCGTCCACTTCTCTCCTTAATATCATCCTCGCATGCCTCCACATCACACCAAGGAATAACGACGATGTTCTTGGCATCTAGCGCTGGAACGACGTCCTCCCAAACTGTGATTTCCTTGAGGCGTGATTGGAATATATCCTTGGCGCGTTTGAACATGTCGTCTTGGATGGTGGTGAGGAGGGTGGATACTGTGGGTACGATGTTGGCAAGTGAGATGGGGTTCTTGACACCGTTGTCGCGACGGACGGTCAAAGTTTGTTGTTTGGCGAGGTCGTTGGGTCCGATTTCGAGACGAAGGGGAACACCCTATCGCAACACATTGTCAATTATCCAAGTCTCCAAGCATCATTGAAAAACTAACCTTCTGTTCCCAATCGTTGAACTTGTACCCTGGGGTGTAACCTTCTCTCAGGTCCGCCTTGGACCTAATCCCAGCCTTCTTCAGCTCCTTCGCCAACTCCTCACACTTCCCATTGATCGCCGCCCTCTGCTCATCCGTCGTCTTCGCCGTAATCCCACACGGCACCACCACGACTTGCACACTAGCCACCCTCGGCGGCAACACCAGACCCTGATTATCACCATGCACCATCACCATCACACCGATAGCTCTCGTGCTCAACCCCCACGAGTTCTGCCACACGTAGCTCTTGCTGCCATCGTTCGGGTCCTCGACGAAGATGTTGAACATCTCCGGACGGGAGAAGTTTTGACCGAGACAGTGGGAGGTGGCTGCTTGGATGCCACGGCCGGTGGTGGGGATGAAGCCTTCGAGGGTGGTGGTGTACAGACCACCGGCGAATTTTTCTTTGGCGGATTTGATGCCCGGTACGACGGGGACGGCGAGGAGGTCTTCGTAGACTTGACGGTAGAGGTCGAGAATTTGGCGCACTTCGGTGTCTGCTTCGGCTTTGGTCAGATGGGCGGTATGGCCCTCTTGCCAGAGGAACTCGCGGGTGCGGAGGAACGGTTCTGCGTTGTGGATAAGTGGGTTACCCTGAGCGATAGGAAGAGGGGCCTACGAGGATTCTTGAACTCCCATCGCACGACACTGTTCCATTGGTTCAGTTTCAACGGAAGATCACGATGACTCCGGATCCATTTGGCGTAATCTTGTGAAGAAGAATCAATAAACTAACCACGGAAGTGAAAGAACCAATCGTACAAGGATACATCGCTGTTTCAGAAGTCGGACGAATAGCAAGGGGTTCCTCAAGCTCAGAGGATCCACTATCGTCCCCTCAGTAAAATGTGGTTTACTAAACGCAGGATGCACTCACGCTCGTGTAACCCAAGCTACTTCCGCAGAAAAGCCCTCAATGTGATCCTTTTCACGCTGCAGGACAGACGCCGACACGAACATAGGGAAGTAAGAGTTTTGTACATCAAGCTCCTTGATTTCGCGGTTGAACCAGACTTGAATCTCCTCCCAAATGCTGTAGGACCATGGCTTCAGGATGTAGCATCCACTGACGCTGTAATAATCAAGCATGTCTGCTTTGATCAAGACCTGTCCGTCAGATTCAGATATTCAGTACAATGTCGTGTCGAGGAAGGGATACTGACATTGGTATACCAAGCTGAGAAATCCACCTCCTTCTTCACACCAATTGCAATCTGGACAGCACCCTCGATCTTTGCAGCATCCTTCTCCTTCACTGGGGCTTTGGAAGTTTGAGCTGCAGCTCCTGGGGCAGTAGCTGTGGCCAAGGACGCGAAATCGAAGTCCTGGACTTTGACATCGGCCGTGTCTAGTTTCTTGAGGTATGATTCGATGTCTTTTCCGGAGAGGAAGACTGTTTCGCTCGAAGAGTTAGCATGGATAGCGAAGGTGGCGGATGAGGATGCGATCGATGAGTCGAGCAAGGTTACCACTCTCGGGAATATGGAATCGGTGATTGAGAGTGGGGATACTATAAACGAGTTTAGTATATTAGTTAAACGCATAGATGTCATTGAGTGTTATTAACGCACTTGAATTTTTATCGAGTGCGAAAAATTCAGTCAGCAAGTCCTCCGAAGCCAACCGTAGCTCCTTCAAATTAAGTTTCTTTCCAATTGCTGCAGAGTTCGTTTCCGTCTCGTCTCGCGCGATCACGACCACAGGGACTGGCGTAGCTGTTTTCGCGGTCTTCGGCTTGTACACCAAAGTTTTGATGATTTCGAATGATTCCGGTGCTGATCCAGAGGCGATCAGAGCATCTTTCCATGTCGCCGGAGAGCTAGTCTCTGCGTGTTTGATATTCGCGGTCGGTTTTATGGAAAGTGCATTGAGTTTCTCGACGAGAGCAGAAGCCATGGTTGTGGTAGTGGTGTAGGACCGAAAGTTGACATTCGAGAGACTACATTTTTGTGACTCTGACTCGCCACGTCCAGCCGGTCTCCTGACTCTTATCGATACTATCAGATGGCGACTACTGAACGCGAGAGCCGGCGGACTTCGTGACAACTTGCTTGCAGCATGTCGTGCTACAAGCATATAGGTTAGTTATTGTGGTCGTCACGGACCAAGAATTGCTGTCGTCGTCGGTTAGATTAAAAAATTCAACAGCCACCATCGTTCACAATCTCTTGATCGCTTCAGTCACAAATGCATTATCCAACCGAAACTACTCGAAACTCTGAGGATAGGCTTCTTGAATTGCGCAGAATCGGTTTCACCTTTTGTAAAGAAACTAAGCCTGAACCTTGGTCGCCGAAACTCAGGATATATACTGATGAACAGCGCAAACACTGATCTATTCATAGTTCTATGTGAATCGCCGACGTTCTCGACTTCACGAAGTAAGGATCGCAACTCAAAGCGCAGTGCAAAGCTCTTCTTACCTGCTCCTGAAGTCTTGAGGCCAACAACTATGGCGACAGGCTGTGCCACTGTACCGAACAAGGCCAGATGAGAGAGCGCCACGCACCTCTCAATATTCTGGACGGAAAATATTGCTCAAACACTAGAATTGGAGTTTGCGGCCAAGAAGCTCAGATCCCTACTACATGGAAGCCCTGGCACGGCCTGGCACGGGAAGCCCTGTAGTCGACCACGAGGAACGTCGGCAATGTTGGAGCCGCACAACGACTGAAACAACCTTCCCTCCCAACCAGATCTCCGCCCATCAATATATCCTCAAGGAACTCAACAATAACAGTCTTCGAGATGCTTCTAAGCACTGAAACCAGACCTCCACAGCCATCTGCCGAAGATGGAGTCTCGGGCAAGCTTCTCCGCAAAATGTCCTTGGAAGCATATATAAGGACTGCATCTGCATCTCGTCCACCTCATTATTCACATTTCTCTTTCTCTTTTTTTCTGTCTAATAATTCCATCCTACCAAGCCACTTCTAACTTCTAACGCCAAGATGAAGTTCTCTGCCAACAACCTCGTTCTCGCCGCCATCCTCTCGGTTGTGCCTTGCATCCAGGCCGCCTTCCCCGGGAGCACCTTCGGAATCACCTACACAACCACCTCAACCCTCATCCCTGCCTCGGGACACCTCACTGTCTACAGCTCAGAAGGCACCTCCCCTAGTTCTCAAGCCTTACTTACCGTAATCGGTGACGGCCCCCACGATCTCGGAGGTTTCCTCACGTACTCGGGCACAGGCGCGGACGGAGGATACCTCCACAATGCGTGCTCAGAGGCTGGCCTGGCGGCCCTCTTAGTTCCAGAAGTACCGGTCCCCGGATTGAAGTATGTCTTGGGGTGGACTGCGGCGCCGTTGAGTGAGTTGCCCGAGGGCAGTGTCGGTTCTGGCTTCCAACTCGGCCCAGCCCCGACCTATGACACCGTCATTCAGAGCAACGTACGTCTTTTACCGCAGCCCATGTTAATCTGGTTTTCTGATGCTAACTCTTCTTTGTAGCCGGCTCTGGCGACAGGATCATGGGCCGTTGGACGAGTCGGTGAAACCGGTCCTTTGATCGTAAGCTTACCTGTTGTTCAGCGTGTACTTTTGTTCATCATTACTTTCCATACAGGTTGGATGGTCAGACGAAAGCACAGGCAGCGGTGTTGGAATCCCGATTACTTTGGTCAAGGCTGGTGTTGCGAATATCTCGTGTTAATTTAGGACAACAGACACTCTAGTTACTTAAATATCCACTCTTTGAAATCATATAATCTTCTGCTTTACTGCCTCCTTGCTCTGAAACCGTTGCGATCAAGTCCATTGGCTTTGAGATATTTAGTATCAGATTTGTGCTCGGAGTCATGAATGGTAAGAAGGTACCGCATTCAACATCTCTGTTAGTATATCGGTTAGTACACGCGCCTGTCATGACGCAATGGCCGCGCGAAAGCTGGGTTCGACTCCCAGACAGAGAGTAAGTATGTGACATGTTCTCCCAGGACAATCAATCTTTTCCTTTTGCCTTTGATGTCAAGCATTCCAATCTATGGCAATTATCATGGGTCTGTCTTTTGTATCATCATGGACTTTCGGAGTAAGTCTTATTTTTGAGCGACAGGTACTACACCAAACGTCCCTTCGTGAATGACGAACGTCTCGCACTTCTTCCTGTTACCTTTTTCGCTGGTGCCCGCGTGTTGGACGTCGGATGCAACGAGGGCTGGGTAACATGTGAAATCGGTATGGTCATTGTCAGATTTTCATTCCATTGACATCAGAACTGACTGAAGTGCGTTAGCACAATCCCACAAAGCCCATTTCGTAGTGGGTGTGGATATCGACGGCACTCTTATACAAGCTGCATGGCGAAGAAGAAGAACAGTATGGTCTTTGCAGGCTCCTTCAAGACCACTTCAGTCCGAATTAGCCGCAGGTGGAGAGGAGGAAAGTCATGCAGATAGCATGGGCGCTGGTATCGCATCAATCTTGGACGCGTCTAGCGCAAGCTCGACAAAGGCGAAGAAGCGGAAACGACAACACATCGATCCAGAGCCTGAGTCTGAGCCCCCGATACCCACTACGGGCGCTCCGAGTCGGACTACGCGTAGTTACTTTCCAGCGTCTTGCGAACATGAATTTGGCTCGCTGCCCATACCGCCGTCATCGAACAGGGGCAAGACAGCATTCCCACATAACTTGTCATTCCGTACGGCGGATTGGACAAAGGAAGAAATACCGGAGGACGGAGAAGGCTATGATGTGGTTGTCGCGTACGTTTCCTTCCTTTCTCCGTGATCGCGTCGCGTCTCCTTCGCCGAAATTCCATTCCATCGCTACTTACTTCTACATGCTGGAACCCATCACTTATACTCGATACCGATTGCAGCTTCTCAATCTCCAAATGGATTCACCTCAATTCGGGCGACACGGGCCTCAAAGACGTTTTCCGACGCGTCTACGCGGTCCTGAAACCCGGCGGCTCCTTCGTGCTTGAACCACAGCCATGGGAATCCTATGCGAAAGCTCGCAGGATGGACCCAGTACGTGACTTTCCTTCCACTGGTTATCTCACTTGTCAGGGTTGATTAACACAATGACAGAAACTCAAAGAAAATGCGAAAAGCCTGCGTATTCGACCGGATGATTTTGAGTCGATTCTGCAAGATGTAGGGTTTGGACCTGTGAAGCATTATGGATCTATTGGGCAAGGAGGTCAGTGAACAGCGCTATTCCCTCTTACTAGTGAAAGTTGATCTCGACGTTCATATCACAGGGTTTCATCGACCGGTTGATGTATACACCAAAATCTGACTTTCATGTCGAGCCAGTTGGACATGTCATGATTCCATACACCTATCTGTCCCAGATTTTCTTGCTTTGTGACCAGACGGGTTCTTGCATACGTCGTTGATCGAATGGCGTTGAGCGTGTCTTTCTCCCGCCTTTCCGCCGTTCGGTATTGCCCTGTGAATGAAAAGGGATCTGCCAGTAGGATACTGAGGTATACATGGTGGGCGCAATGGTGAATTTTTGTAGCTGGCCAACTGACCATGACGATATGGAAAGAGCGTTGCATTCTGTACGATGTATGTGATATTACATGGAAAAACTGATATATGATTATATGATATAAGTATAGTGTCATTGGCCAAAAAAGCGCAGCAAGGTATCAAAAGGAGTATCGCTTTGGGTGCCGGTGTGCGTGTTGACGGATATTGATATCCTTCTTCAATCCAGCCGAGGTAATAAACGAACTGAGAACACGACCCTGGTATACAACTTGAACAGGTCGCGGCCTCACATTAGTGTTGGAATCCACGGTGAAAGAAGCACTGGTAAGTTTCCCTTCCCTCCATTGTAAGTCTACAGAAATTCCACCCCGGACGCGCGCTCCTCGGATTGACCCTGAGGGCCATTGTGCGGGGAGAGCGGGCAGAAGGGTAACAACCAGTGGAGTGCTGATGCTTGGGACGTCAGGCGCCTGAAGGAGTGCGTTCTGGGAGAAGGTTCAGAAGGGTACGTGAAAGATTGAGGAGACAAAAGCGCACCATGACTGCTGCTGGATATCCGAGATTAGCATCAATCTGGAAGATGGGATCCGGATCCCGAGGGTTGAATAGACTGAGTAGATTAGGTCCAAAGTTCTCATAAGTCGCCAACTGAAATATAGCATATCAGTCCGCTATCGTGTGCGCAAATAAATCGACGAAATTTGCGAACCGAAAGCTCATGATAAAACCTGGAACTATCTCCTAGCTGGGCCCAGGAAGCAGCGCGCCACACTTTCTCCCATCCGGATTCGCCAGCTCCATCCCCGCGATGATCCAATGAAACACCAGCGGCTGTCAAAATTTGATCTTTATTGTACCCTGCTGAAGGGCCGTTGCCCTGGACGGAGGGAGAAGAGTCGAATGAGGTGATAGCATAGCCAGGGTATAGACCAATAAGGTGGGAGAGGTGGCGGTGGGTATCTGTAGGTGAGTCCTTCTCGACCTTCCATTCTATTGTGGTTCGTTCAAAGGAGTGAATTTTCGGGCGATGATCAACAGACCTTGTATTTGTCCCCAGGATCCAATTTTGAGCCCCTTATCCATCTGGGCGCGTTTGGCCTGTACCTCTGGTATAACACGTGCGATGTCAGTGCTCAATCTCAAACAAGAGGTACATGTGCCTTACCAGCAAGGAAGGCGGTGTCGTTGTCTTCAGAGGCGGCGAAACCTTTCTCGACAGCATTGAACAATTGCCAGATGACTTGCTGTGCATGAGCACAAGCTGTGAATCATTTAGTATGAAGAACAACATAATAGACAGGTAAATACCGAAGGTGATCGGCACTTGCTCGGGTGAGTTACAAGGGCTCACAACCAAAGTGGAATCGTTGAAATGCAGGTCGGGAATGAGCTTGTCAAGATGGAAACTTGCCACACCCTAGAGAAGCGTTGATCGCGTGTTAGCATTGAAACAGGCGGACAAACGTTTGGCGCACCTTGATGAGGGGCCAACCTTGCGACTTCCACCAGTCCACATCATTGGTGTGGTCGAAATGGTCCCAGACATGCATCATCTAGGCGAGACTGAGTTATGCTATTTTGTCAAATACTTAAGTATAAATACATACCATCCATACGGCCGACTCTGCTTGCATGTGTTCAGATCTGGAAGAAACACTAAGATGTATAACACGTACCAGGATAATTAGCCCATGAAGCGGTGTTACCGCTACCCCGCATTCCAGTGTGTCCAAATATCTATCACGGGAAGTCCTTTAGCAGAAAGCATCTCGTAGATCAGAAAAGCCTCACGTTCATCTACAAGGAAGATGTTGCTCGTCAATTACTGGCATTACAAGATTTATGGACACGACGGACCTCATTGTGAGTTACCCAGCCACGAGAGATATTATACAAAACCTCAGCGGTTTGGGCACCACGAGGAGCCCATGTCTTCTGTTATATTATATAGCCCATGAGGGAACTGAGCATGGATGGCGGAGTGAGTTGCTTACCTCCATGTAGTCAAACAAGGGAGCGGCCAGGCTACCCAAGCCTGTCATATCTGCAGACCAGTAGTTCATCTGGGTATTTATGTTTGCATCTAGTGGGGTTAGAATAAGCAATAAGCCAGGTTATTCGCCCCTTCCATAGAAACGTAGAAGCGCACGATAATCTGGGCAAATCACGATCTTCAGTCAGGCGTCCTGTAATTTGGGATGAAGAGACGTCAAAGACCTACCGCTACTTGCGAGAAGGTATCTTCCGTAGTTGAACAAGACCCACTCCAGGTACGCATTGCTCGGTGGTCCGTCCGTTCTATACTTCGCTTTCAGCACGTCAGTCGGAACGTCTAGAACAGGTGTCTGCCCAACATCCAATGCGAAAGAAGCAGAAAGCGTGGTGCGTATGTCCGTGGTATGCTGGTCAAGGATTGATTGGAAGTCTGTTGAGAGCGGGCTCAAGCTTAGGAGTTTGGTAACAGGGTCGGCGCCTCGGAATGAGAATCCGTGTGCGATATCTCCAGCATTCATATCGTACTCGGTATCTCCTGTCCAAGAAACCCAGACTTCACTGTCCATGGTCGATGGGGTTACATGAAGCGTGGCGTTCTTCGGCGTCCCTGATGCGACCGGGAGTTGCACGCAACGGATTAGACTTTGGGGCGACGAGGAGAATCCGCGTACTACGAGCGCATATTTCATGGACGGAGGGGACACTGAGACGTGCCCTTCAATCAGAAGCGCTGTTTCTGAGAGGCACGTCACGCTAGCGACTGGAAGACCTGATTCTAGGGCGGTTGTGAAAGCATAGGTTAATGCTGGGAGTTGACTGCCAGTACTCGAGGCCATGTGTTCGACGCATGAACGCGTCGCGTGAGAACAGAAAGTCGTGCTAAGTACAAAATCGCGTCAGAGACCGGTTTCATGAAGGAAACGCAAGCAGGAAGTCACCGAAGAAGATCAGCTCCCCCTTGTGTCCATGATGTGCGGGCGAGTCCCTGGTCCATGTCCAACCAACGCGCGTAGTTCGAGATAGGGCCCGTACTGTTGATAGACGACAATAGATGACCGGCGCCTGCATAGGACCCTGTAGAAAGTGATTATATGAACGCTTGTCAAGACTCAAACTACCTCTACCAACCGTAGTGTCCCGCGTCAGTTTCGAGTACTTCAACATCTTGGACGTCATGGTCAGAACAGGAAAGGAAAGGCGACGTGAATGAACGCACTATCTATATCCCCATTAGGGCTCTGAAAGATAGTTTGACGAATCTTCTGCATGGCCTGTGCAATACTGTGACGTTCAGAGGGTTGTTTGTTGCCTCCATTGTATGACTAGTGTAATCAGCCAGCGCAGTGCTAAAGGAAGTGGGAGATAGATACCGGATCAGCGAAGGGTCCCCCTGACCACAGAGACTCTATGTTGAGCTGAGTTGTTTCTTGGGTCGTGCCCCCAGGTACCATTGCTTGAAAACACGATGA